AGACGGAGCTGATATCGAAATGATATGTGTCAAGCATAATTGAGATAGCCCAAGGCCGGTAAGAGGCACCCTGTCACCGTCTGAACCCCCCCCTCCTCTCCCCCTCCTCCCTCCCTTCCTCTCCCCCTCCTCCTCCCTCCCTCTCTTCCCCTCCTTCCTCCTCTCCCCTCTCCCTCCTCCCTCTCCTCCCCTCCTCCCCCTCCCTCCCTTCCTCCCTCCTCCTCCTCCCCTCCCCCTCCCTCCCTCCTCCCTCCCTCCCTCCCCTCCCCCTCCCTTCCTCCCTCCCTTCCCTCGCAGCACTCCGGGTGGGTATGGCCTCTCGACGCCACGCCCACCAGAGGGAAAGGTCTCGAAGCAGGAGGTCAGTCCCACTCGAGGCTCAAGGACCAAGGAGGAAGGACAGTGGGGGCGGCGAGGACATCCTCAGGGGGCACGGAAGACGGGGATAAGGAGGAAGGAGGAAGGATTTGGCGAGATAGGGAATGGGCGAAAGGATAGGAGGAACGGGAGGGAGGGAGGAATAGCGAAAGGACGGAAGAACGAAGAAGGAACGAGTAGAAGGGAAGGACGGACGGGAGGGAGGAAGGGAGGAAGAAAAGAAGGAGCGAGTAGATGGGAGAGAAAGAAAGAGTGAAAGGAGGGGAGAGCGGAAGAAGGGATGAATTGCAGGGAAGAGCGGACAAAGAATGATCGAGAGGAGCGAAAGAAGGGAAGAGCAAAAGAGAGAACGAAAGGAGGAATGAGCGAAAGAAAGAAAGAGCGAAAGAAAAGAAAGAACGAAATAAAGGAAGAGCAAAATAGAGAGAGGGACTGAACGAAAGAGAAGAAGAGCGAAAGAAAGAACAAAAAGAGGAATAACGAAAGAGAGAGAGGAATATGCGAAAGAGAGAGAGCGCGAACGAAACGAAAGTAAGAGCGGGGGGAAAAAACCAAACATTCAACAACACCCCCCCCCTCCCCTCCCACCCCCACCCCCCTTAACGACAAACGAGTAACGGGGAGCTATTTGCATTTGCCTTTTTTACTGCTCATGATCACGATCGCCTCCCTTTGTTACGAGACACCGCCGCCCCCCCCCCTCCGCCCCCGCCCCCGCCCCGCCTCCGTCTCGTGCCCCCGGGGAAGCTGGTCTGGGGGCGCTAACATTCCCGGGGGCTTTTTTTTTTTTTTTTTTTTTTTTTTTTTTTTTTTTTTTTTTGATGGCGGTCGTAAAGTGAAATGGGAGATTATGTTCAAGAGTCGTCAAAGTTTTTTTTTTTTTTTTTTGATTAATTTTTTTTGTTGATTGGGGTTAGTAGTAAATGTCAGCTATCTGATTGTTTTTATTTACTGTTTTGATTGTATTTTTGTTTTGTTTTTATTATTTTTGTTTTTGTTTTCTATTGTCTTTTTTTTGTTTTTCTTATTGTTCGTGTTTTTTTGTTGTTGCCAAGGTTTTGTTATGTGTTTTTGTGTCGAATGTAACGGTGGTGATAACGGCATCAACATATCAGCAAATATCATGTTAAGAACAAGAATGATGTTTATAATGACGATAATGATGATGCTCAAGTCGTGGCGAAGATGGTGATGATGATGATGATAGAAAAAGCGATAATAAAGAAGTGAATAATGATAGAAGCCATGGGTGACAACGACAGTGATAATGAGATAGGTACAGTGTTTAAAACGATAACGGTAGTGATGAGTAATGATAGTGATAATAGCAGTGATTATAACTGTAAATATAGTGTTGCTATGAGTGATAATAATGCTTATCAGTATGGATGATACTACTAATCAAATAATAGTTGTAACAAAAAAATATCAGTGTATTATTAGTAATGGTACTTCGAAGATAATCATGTAACTGGTGGTAATAATATGAATGATAGTAACGCTAATTATAATGATAATGATGCAGGTAATAAGAATAGCAGTGTTTATTATGGTTATGATAATACACTAATATTGCCAGTAAAACATGACAACAAAAACACGAGTGATAATAGTAATATTATTGCTACTATAAATAATATCAATGGAGTCAGTTGCAATAATGAACAGCGATGCTAATACTGATCATGAACACGATAATGATAGCCTTCTGAGTGTTATTACATCAGATGCGATCGCCGATAACCCCAGCAGCCCCCCCCCCCCCGGAGTGCCAATGAGGTCATGCTATCTCCACCTTACTTAATCGAGGCTGTTTTGGCCCCACAGGCACCGGGGTCCTTGTGGAATGTGTCTGTGGGTCGCCCTCCATTTGGGCTGCGTTGGGGCGTCGAGGGCTTTTGTTTCTTTTCTGTTTCTGATTGTTATCCATTCGTTAAAAAGCGGGAGTAGGGTTTTTGATTACTGGTAGTGGTGGGTGAGGATTAAATTGATTGAGTAGGGTGTTCCAGCATTTTTATTTTCTTATTTTTTATTTTCTTATTATTTTTTTACATTTCTGGGATTATGGTGACTATTTAGGAAGGTGAGATCAAGCGAGAGATATTATGATTGATAATAATAATAATAATAACAATAATAATAATAATAATAATAATAATAATAATAGTAATGAGATATGAATGATAATGATAATATATAGACTAGTATGAATATATAAGGTAGGGGAGTCGGATTATATATCTATTATCTATACATATCTATTTATCTGCAATTTCCTTTCTCTCCCTTTCCAATGCCAGTCGACACTGATCACACATGCTTCGTGTAATTTGCGTTAAATTAACCAGAATTCTTTATTTTCAATTATTTTGAATTTGGATCGAGCGGGATACAAAAATCTCAACCTTTTTCTTCTTGGCCAAATAAATAAGATATATCATTGGCCAAGTCAAGTCCCCTGATCCTTCTCAGAACACCACGTGTGAAGATTGTACATTTTATTGGCACTTCGAGAACCTGCTCGCACTTCTCAGACGCTCCAGGAACGAGCCTCACAGATGACTCTCCTGAGAACGTGGAAGCCCCGCGTCAACGATCCGAAATAACGGGAGAAATGTGACAAAACGGGTAACGAGGAACGCGTTTTATGGGTTCTCTTGTGGGAGATGTTGCGTTGAGCACCTCGCGGGCCGATTGGGGAAGAGATCTGTCGCAGAATCCCCCGAAATGCTTAAAGAATTACCATTATGGGAAAGGCTAGATCAGTAGCAATTCGAGGAGTCATGGCTAATTCTATGGGGTTTATTTTGATGACGTCACGAAAGTTAGGGTTGATTTGTGAATGTGGTCGATCATTTTGGTCTCTTCAATTTAAAAAAAAGATGGGAAATGATTTTAATGGTTATATATCCATGGAACAATCATCAAAACAGTCGCCATGACACCTCGAGCTGCTATTGATCTAGCCTTTCCCTTACCATTAAGTCAGCGATTCGAACAGAGGAAAAAGAAACATCAGCTTTGATAACCGAACCTCTCGAAGACGGAAGTGTGGGTGGAGTCCGTGTAAGTGAGGATATTTCGCGGTACAATAAAAGTATTTAATTGACAGGTTTGGGATATTACGTCATCGTAATTTCGATTGTGTAATACCGAAAGACGCCAATTATTACGTCTTGGGTTGTATGATTATTCTTTCTCATTCATACCTTTTCTACGTAATGCTAATTAGTATGTCTTGTGTTGTATAATTCTTCTTTCTCGTCCATACCTTTTCTACGTAACGCTAATTATATCTTTTGTTTTATAATTCTTCTTTCTCGTCCATATCTTTTCTACGTAACGCTAATTATATCTTTTGTTATCTCTCCTTTCTCGTCCATACCTTTTCTACGTAACGCGAATTATTATATCTTTTGTTGTATAGTTCCTCTTTCCCTTCCATACCTTTTCTACGAATGGCACAATTAACTTTCCGTTTCCAATCGACCATTTCTTGTGTCACTTGCCATGTTATTAGTTTGTAATATTTTTGTCGCTGATTTTAAGGGATGAACTTTTGAAAAGGCGAGTCAGTGGCATTACCATCAAGAAAATTAAAGAAAGAAATATATTGTTTTTTTTGCTACGTTCTATTTGACATCTTTGAAAAGGCGAGTAAATTAAAGAAAAAGATATAGTGGTTTTTGCTACGTTCTATTTGACTTCATTATTGTATTACTCCATAAGGAAACAGACGGGAAATACGGTATGTAATATGTCTGATGGCCTTTGGGGTTTTAAAATGCCGAAGGTGATGTGAATAGTGCTTCATGATTTCTTGACGTCATGAATGTGGAAAATCTGTTTAGTGTTCGGGGATCTCTGTCTCTGTCTCTGTCTCTGTCTCTGTCTCTGTCTCTCTCTCTCTCTCTCTCTCTCCTCTCTCTCTCTCCTCTCCTCTCTCTCTCTCCCTCTCTCTCTCTCTCTCTCCCTCTCCTCTCCCTCTCACTACCTCCCCGGTACTACTTACACGTCGCTCTGGGGAACAGATGAAATGAAAAATTATAAAAAGGAGAGATCATAAACTACTAACGGTCTTTAACGATGTGCTTAGCCTAGAATTGGTTGTTAAGATGTTCATTTCCTTTGTTTTTTTTGTACTTGTTTTACTTTCTTATATGTTTATTGCTCCTTCCTTCTTTCCTTGTTTTCTGATTTTTTTCTATTTTTTTCCGGTATATCATATAGATTTTGTTTTCTACAGAGATTTCTGCTGTATCATTTCCTTCTTTTATTTTACGTTATTTTTCATCTTTGTTTTTCCTTTTTTCTATTTGGTTCTTTGTTCTTTATTAAATGCATTATCTCATCCTTATTTTGTCCTTTCTTCTGTATTTCCCATTGTTCTCCAAATTCTTTTTTATTTTCCCTTTGTTTAGTTATCCTAATTTTGTTCTATTTTTTACCTTTTTGCTCTTCCCTTTGTTTGGTCATCCCTGCTTCCTTCTCGTTTTCTTCCTTTTTTTTTTTCCCATTTTCTCAATACTCTCGTTTTCTTCCTCCATTTCTCGTAAGCTTATTTTTCACTCTGTTTATTAATTATTCTCCTTCCATATTAACTCCTTTTTTCCCTCCCGCAGGTGCCGCACGTGGAAGAGGACATATTGGATGGTGTGGGCGGCGCAGGCAGCATGGAGGGCGCGGGCGGGCGGGCGGAAGCAGAATGGGCGGCGGACAAGGGGGCGGAGCGACGTCCAGAGGTTTTCCAGCAGTGGGTCTTCCGGGCAAGGTTGGTCCTGTTTTTCTTGTTTTATTTTATTATTTGTTTTTTTTATTGATTTTATTTATTTATTTATTTATTTATTTTTTTGTGGGGGGGGGGGAGATAGGTCTGTGGGGTTGGTTGTTAAGGTGTTTATAGCGTATATGTATAAGTATACGTGCATTACGTGTGTTATCTATCTATCAGTCTATGTCTCTGTCTGTCTCTCTTTTTCTGTCTGTCTCTCTCTCTCTCTCTCTCTCTCTCTCTCTCTCTCTCTCTCTCTCTCTCTCTCTCTCTCTCTCTCTCTCTCTCTCCTCTCTCTCTCTCTCTCTCTCTCTCTCTCTCTCCTCTCTCTCTCTCTCTCTCCTCTCTCTCTCTCTCTCTCTCTCTCTCTCTCAGTCTCTCTCTCCCTCCTTTGTAACTCGGGAGTTTCAGCATGACCACTGAATTCCATGAAACTTGACGAAACACACTTTACAGTCACACTCATGTCCAACATTTCTCTATCGTGTCACAGGATTTTCAGACTGGCGCGGCGCAAGTCATTTATGTGTCACCGCCCTACATATCCCACAACAGACTGACGTCATGCGCGTTACATGTTGTATGCCGCTGTAATGATTCATATATATTTTTTTTCTCTCTCTCACGGAGGACAATTGAAGTGTGACGTCAGAGGAAGAGGGTTTCGTCGCGTACATGTTAATTCTTTTGTTTTGATCCCGAGAGTGTGTTTGGTGTTCTCGGGGCTGAAATGATTGCGAATTTTGTGTGTTTGTGTTCGCGGTGTAAACTGTTTGGTTTTGTGTGTTTTTTTTTTGTGTGTTTCTGTGTTTGTACGTGTAAAATTATTTTTATTATTTTTACTGGGTTCATGTTTGATTTGATGTGAGAAGATATATCAAGGGCAAAAAATATATAGACTTTAATGATTGATTTTCTCTTTGTCTTTGTCTATATGGCTGTGTGTATGTTTATCTATTTATGTCAGTGTATCTCTCTGTCTGCCTGTCTGTCTGTCTGTTTGTCTATCTGTTTTTGTCCCCTATCACTCTCCCCCTCTCTCCCCTCCTCTCTCTCTCATCCTCTCTTCTCTCTCTCTCTTCTCTCTCTCTCTCTCTCTCTCTCTCTCTCTCTCTCTCTCTCTCTCCTCCTCCTCTCTCTCTTTTCCCATCAATCCCCTTTTTCCCTTATTCATCTCTTTCCTCTTTTTTCTCTTCTTTCAAATTTTACTCTTTCCTCTCTCTCCTCCCTCCCTCTCCATCCCTCTCTCCTTTCCTGAATCGCAATAACCTTTCGCTCCCTCTCTCCTCCTCTAAAACATTATCATCCGCACTATAAAGGCAGGAAGCACTGCAACTGTCTGATATTTTTTCCGATCTCTGGCTAACCTCTCTTTGCCGCTTCTTCGCCGACTCAACAAAGCCACTCACAAAACCAATTTTTTAAATGTTTTTAATTTTTGTCCATTTTTGAGCGAAGTGTCGATTTTCTAAGCCAGACGATAATGATCGTTTCCGTCTGAAAACTTTTTCCGTCAAACTTTTTCAGCCAAGCATAGTCAAATCAAGAGCTATGTTCGAGAGTATTCTGTATCTATGTTCAATAGAAATGTAAAAAAATGATGGTAAAAAATAATAGTGTAACACACCTTAATAAAAGACATCAGACTCGACGTCATATTTCGGAGGCCGTTGGAAGGTATTATCACTTGCGGATAATGTTACTGAGAAAGACTTTTTAGGTTGTTGATTTGTGCAATGAGGTCTTGATGTGTGGAAGTATTTTAGGGTATTTTTTTTCTTCTTTTGATGCGAATTGTCAGATCCTCAGTGTTTTTTTTTTTTCAGATCATCAGTGTTTTTTTTATATTAAAGCTTTCATTAGGTGGATGTAGGTTTTTAGAAATTATTTTAGGAATATGGATGATTCTGTTACATCTTGAAGTTGTATGTGTATCGTCCGTTGAATTATTTAGGCGTACAACATCAAACGACATGGTATTTCGGCCGATTTCTTCTGCTTCAGAACATTACAAAATAATCTTAGAAGTTGAAAATATCAATGTTTAGGGTCGCGAATCTTCGTAACTTCCTCGATATTGAGTTTCCTGCTTCCTTTTATATAACCTGTGGGAGTCAGGACTATGCTCAGTGAGATACTCGTTGTAAATGTTTATTTTTCTTTTTTAATTCTCTTAACACCTGATATTTGATGCGTTAGGATGGCTGTCCTTATCCTCATTATTTCGATTCCTGACCCTGATCATAAGGAAGGTCAGGACAGAAATCAGGCTTATTATATTGACACCTAGAGGCAGATATAATGGCTTGGTTGTGAATTAGGTAATTGTACATTCTAAGATTTATTATGTGTGATCTTCGAATCAGAGTCAAGTTTCTTGCGTTAACTTGAACTAATTGTAGGAACTCCCCATAACGGTGAAAATATTCGCTTCGTATAGAGGAAAATAGATCTTATGTATAAATACTACAAAGGGTAAATGTCCAAAAGATTGATGGAGTACGCTGTTGTACTCTTGAAACCTCTTTCGTATGATGGACGATGGAATAGGATCCTTACCTATAACACGAGTCGATTGAAGTGTATACCAAGATGCAGTACTTCGTTCATGTAAGTGTCGAATGGGTCTTTCCTCTTGTGTAGTGGGTGAGGCTGCAACTTACCTGGGTAGACATATGCTTTTCGTGTTCATCTTTTTTTTTGTGTGTGTGTTTTTGTCTGTCCTTCAGTGTCTGTCCGTTGTTAATCTCTGTTTGTGTGTCTGTATGTCAGTCTGTCTCTCTCTCTCTCTCTCTCTCTCTCTCTCTCTCTCTCTCTCTCTCTCTCTCTCTCTCTCTCTCTCTCTCTCTCTCTCTCTCTCTCTCTCTTCTCTTCTCTCTCTCTCTCTCTCTCTTTCTATGTGTCTGTGTCCCCCATCCTCCCTTCCTTCCTCTCTCATTCCATCCTATCCTCATTCCCTTCCTCCTTTCTCCCTCCCTTCTCTTCTTTCCATAGCCTCCCTCCCTCCCTCTCTCCCCTCTCTATTTCTCTTGACGTTTTCCGTGTGTCTTTCCTCGCGCCCGACCGATTCACCTCCAGGACACCCCAGCCGAGCAGGTCGCGGTTTCCTGAAATAAAGCCGCGAGTCATGGTTCCCGGCAACGCGCGTCATCGGGCGCCGTTGAGCCCTTATCACGCGCTGATGACCGTGACTTACGGAAGCCTTTTTTCAGGGACGGGCGGCGGCGGGGGCGGCGGCACGGCGATGACGACGGCGATGACGACGGCGATGACGACGGCGGGCTTCACCTCCTCGACGCAGACGCTCGCCGTGACCTCGACGCCCCGCTCCCTCTCCCTGGCCTCCATCTCCTCCGAGGGGAGCACCGACAGCCACCTGGTGGAGCAGGAGGACATCGTCGCCCTCACCTCCGCTGTCAGGGCCTTCAAGGAGGCGCTGGGGAAGCTCAAGCGCATCTTCCACCCCGAGAGAGGTAAGGAGGCCGCGGCCCTCACGCATGTCCTTTTCCTCCTAAATGATGACGCCTTTTTTCCCCCATGTCCGGAGCGGTACCTTTTTTTCTTGCAGCCTTTTCACAGCTGGGAAAACGTCGACGAACAAGCACGTGGGTACGGGCAGCTGGACACGCAGTCCCACTCTGCAAAATCATGTCACACGGACGAGTAATCCCTTATTTGTTCCTTTTCCACGCCATAGGATGAGTTTACCGAATCAGCTGAATAGGACATGTTTTAAACATTTTGTTGACGTTCTGGGATAATGCTATTTACAGTCACGCTTCCCTGTGTGACGTGGTTTTGGCGAACGTCATGAGATCGTATGCTGAATGTGATGCATGTTCTTTGTAGATAAGTTAAGCTAAGATGCATATACTATAGAGCGGTCACTTGTACCCTGAATTAACAAGCTTCATATGGGGCTTCTGTACTTCAGGACCCAAAGCTAACTAAACTGAGCGAAGGAGGACAAGAAGTCTGGTCGCTCACTGAACGTCCCGAAATTGACCCACAAACAAATGACCCGAAATTGACCCACAAACAAAAGTCCCGAAATTGACCCACAAACAAAAGTCCCGAAATTGACCCACAAACAAATGACCACAAACAATGTCAAATTGAGCCATAAAACAAATGTCCCGAAATTGACCCACAAGCAAAAGTCCCGAAATTGACTTTTGACCCACAAACAAAAGTGACCCACGAAATTGACCCACAAACAAAAGTCCCGAAATTGACCACAAAAAGTCCCGAAATTGACCCACAAACAAAAGTCCCGAAAATTGACCCACAAACAAAAGTCCCGAAATTGACCCACAAAGCAAAAGTCCGAATTGACCCACAAACAAAAGTCCCCGAATTGACCCACAAAATTTGACCCACAAGCAAAGTCCCGAAATTGACCCACAAACAAAAGTCCGAAATTGACCCCACAAACAAAAGTCCCGAAATTGATCAAATTGACCGAATTGATCCGAAATTGACCGCAAAAGTCCCGAAATTGACCCACAAGCAAAAGTCCCGAAATTGACCCACAAACAAAAGTCCCGAAATTGACCCACAAACAAAAGTCCCGAAATTTGACCCACAAACAAAAGTCCCGAAATTGACCCACAAACAAAAGTCCCGAAATTGACCCACAAACAAAAGTCCCGAAATTGACCCACAACAAAGTCCCCAAATTGACCCACAAACAAAAAATTGTCCCGAAACCCAAACAAACCCGAATTGACCCACAAACAAAAGTCCCGAAATTGACCCACAAACAAAAGTCCCGAAATTGACCCACAAACAAAAGTCCCGAAATTGACCCACAAACAAAAGTCCCGAAATTGACCCAACAAAAAGTCAAAATTGACCCACAAACAAGTCACCAAATTGACCCACAAACAAAAGTCCCAAAAATTGACCCACAAACAAAAGTCAAACAAAAGTCTGAACCCACAAACAAAAGTCCCGAAATTGACCCACAAACAAAAGTCCCGAAATTGACCCACAAACAAATGTCCCGAAATTGACCCACAAACAAAAGTCCCGAAATTGACCCACAAACAAAAGTCCCGAAATTGACCACAAACAAAAGTCCCGAAATTGACCCACAAACAAAAGACCCGAAATTGACCCACAAACAAAAGACCCGAAATTGACCCACAAACAAAAGTCCCGAAATTGACCCACAAACAAAAGTCCCGAAATTGACCCACAAACAAAAGAAATTGACCCACAAACGAAAGTCCCGAAATTGACCCACAAACAAAAGTCCCGAAATTGACCCACAAACAAAGACCCGAAATTGACCGACCCCGAAAGACCCACAACAAAAAGTCCCGAAATTGACCCACAAGCAAAAGTCCCGAAATTGACCCACAAACAAAAGCCCCGAAATTGACCCACAAGCAAAAAGTCCCCGAAATTGACCCACAAACCGAAACCCAGAAAGTCCCCACAAACAAAAGTCCCGAATTGACCCACAAACA